GATTTCTACCCTCTGGATTTCTGATTCTCTCAATTTCTGGACCTTTTGGATTTCTAGACGCTGAATTTTTTCTCTTCCTTCTTTCTCGGAGCCTCTATTTATAGGCTTCTTGGATTAATAGGATGATGACACGTGTTATCTCCTGATAAGGATAAAATCATAACTGGGCCAGGCCAGTTATATTTGTTGGGATTTATATGCCCCGGCATAGCAAATTCCTATTTGGATTATAGAGACATATGTTCCTGACGTTTCTGAATTATTTATGCTTGATACAATTGGTGAATTCAATGTATTATGTTTCGATTCATTATAGAATTGATAGTGTCCACTTGATTACAAGAGATATTTATATATGTATGTGATGGCGATCAATACATGAATATAAATAGTAATCATAAATTGTTCATAGTCGGTAATTATGGATGGACTCATAATTAATTAAGACTTGAACAGGATCCGCGTTAGGTTGAGATATATTGCGAGAGCCGTCATATGCAATTGCTCCCTATCACTGTCATGGTATTTGACTCTTAAGCATGAGAAAAGTATAAACTCTTTTATTAATTAATAATTACTTTGATTTGTTCGGCGGATACTTCGGGATCCTTAGACCGACACTTTGGGTAGTTATGTAATTAATAGTTAGAGGGTTATATTTTTAATATTTGCATCATTGCTACTTGTATTTATTTTGTATTGATTATGGTTGATCACAAAGTAAATTCGAAGGCCTTCGTGTGTTTTTAGACAAAATGATTTATTATATATTTATTTATTTAAATTATTATTTTTGTCAAACAAATGTTTTATTGTGATCGAGCCAGATATAATCAATGGTATCAAAATAAATATAATAATTAAGTTGTCGGATTGATGGCTTTATTTATCCGATAACTAATTATGCATAGAGGGGTTAAAGTGCAACATTGACTTAGAGATTATTTATTATTTAATTAGAGTTCAATTAATTTCTTTTAGTGGAGTAGAAATTAATTTATGAGTTAATTGAATTGGGTACATGGACCGGGCAATTATTAATTCATTGTAACCAATAAAATAATAAGTGATATTGGAATCCTATTAGATTTGAGACATGTCAATTAGAGATTGAGAAGGATTTATTGTTTCCTTTTCTTTATCTTTATGTTTCCTATATATATACATGATCTATGTATATTTTAGAGGTGATTTTTAGTAGAAGGAAAAAGGAATATATTTTCTCTCTCTAGAAAATTAGGGTTAGTGTTCTCATCTAATGGAGGCTCCCACAAGCCTATTTTTCCAAAGTCATTCATGGAGGCATATGAGTGATTACTAAAGGCAAAACAATTACCAAGAAGATGGAGATCTAAGGAGAAGACATCTTGCTAAGGGATCTACAATAAGTGAGAACATTTACTTTAGAGGAAAGATTTAAAGGTTTACTCAGACCTTTGATGTAAGTATTCAATCTGTTAATTGAATGATACATCATGTTTTATTTTTGCATAAAACTTGTCTCTATTTGATGAATCAAGATCTATGAATTAAAATCCCTCGAAAAGTTTTTAAAACTTGCATGTTTTCTAACAATATTATGTTAATTATCCTTAAAAATAAGTATTCTAAATATATTTTATTAGGAATAATTATCTTTATTTAATTATCTTGGTTGGGCTAATTAAATAATTTAAGTGGACCAAGCTTGGGCAGTTAAATGACTTAATTAAACATTAAACCCATATTTAATGGGTCCATTTGTCAAAACCAAAGCCCACTAAAATTTTAGTGTCTACAAATTGCCCCCACTTCGAGTCCCACATTTGACCGGACTTGTCTCTTATTTCAAGTGGGACTTGAAGTATCCAACTTGGTCTTTGAAATTTATTTATTATTTTTTTTTTCCAACTTTAGATTTGTAAAATTTTATTTTTTGCATTTCTATCTAACTTTGGATTTGTAAAATTTGTTTTTCAAATTGAACTATGCAAATCATATTACAAATAGAAGGTACGAAGTTAGAATCTTCTCCCGCCAAGAGTCAATGTTGATTGCAAACTACCACGGGCGCGAATTACTGTATGATTTTTCCTTTTCCAAAGTTGAGTCATTTTTTTTTTTTTTTTTTTTACCTGGTGCATCTTTTTTTCCTTCTTTTCATACAACCATTGTCTTCTAGTAAGCACCATTACCTTTTTGTACTTGATCATGCAATCAGATTTTTTTTTTTTTTTTTTTTTTCACCCAATATCAGTTTCCAAAGGAGTTCTAATATAATTATAAAACCCAGCTTCGTAAGGTAAGGACTTCAAATACTTGTCTTATTTGGATGCACAGCTGCCGACTTACTTCCTTATAAATTCACGCCTATTTCATAAAGCCCTGTAGTGTGGCGATCAAGTTGTTAATTTAAAACGCAGCTTGTTCAGTTTCAGAAAAGAACCTCGGCTTTGAGAGGTCAGACCACCCCATGAACTCAGACCAAGAGCGATAACTTCGATGATGGATTGCGCCTCGCACCAAAACCCATTAGATTTCCATGGCGTTGCTCACTTGAAACTTCCATTCAAGGCATCTTCAAGTTGCCAGCAACATAGTTCATAGGCAAGCAGAAGCAGTAAGGTTACCGTAGACCCATGTCTTCCCGCGCGCAGACCACCAAGAGCTCACCCAGCAAGGTATGGTCCTTTTTTATTTTTTTATTTTTCGGTTGCAAAATCCTATTGCAAATTGGATTGGTCTTCAGTTGGCCATATATATATATATATATATATATCATCAATTGCATCAACAACATCATCATCATCCAATCAAATTGTAGGCTCTTCTAGTATGCTGTTTTTTTTTTTTTTTTTTACTACACTTTTTCCTTGTCTTTACAATCCGCATGTACATGCATCATGACCTACAATTTGACTATGGAATCAGTTTGACCCTTTTTTTTTTTTTAGCCTACTCTGTACAACTTCTTTTCTTCCTTTTTCACATGTAGCTTTCCCATACATGCACTGACACTTGGTATGTATTCATCTTGTGTGGTATATTTTTTTATTTTTTTTTTTTTCAATCATTGGTTCCACTTGCATGCATTCTCAGAAATCAAGTTTTAATGATTGGTGCAACGCATACAGAATATCAAAACTCAGATCATGTTTGTTGTGCCCCTTTTTTTTTTTGTCCAGGATTTTCTAAGAAATTTTTCAAAAGAATTGACGAGAAATCAAGTGGCATGAAAGGCTATTTTCTTTTTCCAGCCATACTTCAACGACCAGTTAAGGCTTTTCCTAGGCGATACCTCCATAAACGTGAAGTTATTACAGACAGTGTGAGAAAGTGACAGATAAAGCTTGTATGCCCATGCTTCCTGTGTGGTGATTTATTTTAGTTCAGCAATACCTTGGCGACACAACGAATTTTCCTTGATGCAGTGCTTCAATGGAAAACAGATTTCTTTTTCAGCAAGTGGCGAGCAGAATTTTTTATTTATTTATTTTTTTTTAGCAACACTTTGGCGAGGAAATTTTTTTTTCCTTTCAACGACACCTCGTTGGTAAGTCAAAATTTTGTTGCAGCAACACCATGGCGATGAACCAGATTCTTCAGCGATGTGCAGAATTTTTTTTTTCATCGACACCTCAACAGAAAGCCAAATTTCTCTTTTAGCAATACCTCGGCGGCGAGCATAATTTTTTTTAACGACATCCCAGCGGATAGCCAAATTTCTTTTTCAGAAATACCTTGGCGACGAGCATAATTTTTTTTCAACGACACCTCAGCTGATAGCCAAATTTCTCTTTCAGAAATACCTCGGCGGCGAACTGACCTTTGCAACAACACTCTGATGGCAAGCAAAATTATTCTTTGCAACTACACTTTGCCAACCAATCAAATTTTCCTTTGCAGCTACAATTCTGGCGACCGAACAAAATTTCCTCTTTTTTTTTTCTCTCCCTTTTTTTTCTCATTTTTTTTTTTCCTTTTCACTTTTTTTATTTTTATTTTTTTCACGAATTTTTTTTTGTTTTTTTTTTTACTAGTCCCTCAAGGACCCATTGTTCCTTCGGAACGCATCTAGTTCGTAAGGACCCATTGTTCCTTCGGAACGCAACTAGTCCGTAAGGACCCATTCTTCCTTCGGAACGCATCCATACATCTTCTTTTTTTTTTTTTTTTTTTTTCAATTGCTAACCTTTTTTTTTTTTTCTAGGGGGTGCTAGTCAACTATGGTATTTTTTAAGAGTTTCAAACCCCAGACTATCACCATTTTGGAGTGAGAACAGACTCTGAGTGGTCAAGCCACCAGCACAGACAGTGTCGTTAGCAGCCTTTTTTTTTTTTTTTTTTTTTTTTTTCAAGTGCTAACCCACCCTCCCCCCCCCCCCCCCCCCTTTTTTTTTTTTTTTTTTCAGGGGGTGCTAGTCAACTATGGTATTTTTTAAGAGTTTCAAACCCCATACTATCACCATTTTGGAGCAAGAACAGACTCTGAGAGGTCATGCCACCAGCATAGACAGTGTCGTTAGCAGCCACGAATCAACTCGGAGAGTAACGAGATATGTAGACGAGGGGAGGCTTTACCAACAGCTAAGACAACGTTATTAACACCCATTGCCAGAGCGTCTTCATTAGCCATGGATCATCCAATAACCATTGATAGAGCACAAATAGACTCCGAGAGGTCATGCCACCAGCACAGGCAGTATCATCAGTAGCCACGAAGCAACTCGGAGAGCAACGAGATATGTAGATGGAGAGAGGTTTTACCACTAGCTTAGACAACATTGTCAACACCCGCTGCCAGAGCGTCTTCATCAGCCATGGATCATCCAGCAGCCATTGATAAAGCGAGACCAGACTCCGAGAGGTCATACCACCAGCATCATTAACCATTATCAGTTTTGATGATGATTTCAAGCCGAAACTACACCAAAAAATCTAACTCAGTATATAAGTTTACTTATACACCAGACACCAGTAGTCACTTAACATGAAGTTACCGAGTTATGCAAGTGTACAGTTGAATATAGCACGTTTTCAACTCTCCCAAATAAAACTAGAACTCGGGGACAAATAATGAACTAAGATACATAATCTGACAAACCATTGCTTACACAACTATTGTTCTGAATTCTGATCATCATCAGTCCATATCATGCTACAAAAGTGGCTGAATATATAAAATCTTAGTTCACTTAGATTCCCATCCTGGGAGAACAGAAAAATTTTAATGCTCGTATCTCCTTCAAGGCTGCTGCCCAAGAAGAGAAGGTTTGTAAAACGCATGGGATTGTGCTATTTGAATGCGCTCTCAGGGATCATTCATCGTTTCATCTCTCAGTGCCTGAAGAATGGCCAGTGGTGGGAGCTCCCTGAAGATTCAGATGGATCAATAGTCTTATCTTTAATACACCGTATTCAACCAGCAATTTGACACAGAGAGAGAGAGAGAGGTGAATAAAATGAACATTACCTCATTATTAGTATTTTATATAATGTTTTCAAGATGGGACAGAGCTCAACTGGAGCAACAGGCTTTTTTTCTTCGGGATGTAGGATATACTTAAACGAGACTGACTTGGTAGCTCAAAAAAGGCTTTCACTGCGGAGACTGACTTAGTAGCTCAAAAAAGGCTTTCACAGAAGGCAGAGAGGGCATAAAAGAGTGCTAACAACAAATTGAAAGGTTATCAGAAGCCGGAGGAGGGGTTGTTAAGAAGCGGATTAGAAGCCTTTGCTATATAAATGGTAGAAGGATTGTACAGATCAAGTATTGAAACTCTAGTTCCATCTAATCAGCAAAATAATTTACTAAGTCGTCATGGGCATAGTTTCTTTTACACACACACTGCGCCTGTACTTCAATCTGTGCAGATATGGGATGTTAGAATCAAGACTTCCACAATCTAGAGAGAGTATTCTTCTCACAGTTCGTTTATTCGTGCTTTGGGTTTGCGTGCATAAAAGAATCACAGAGTGTAAATGTAAAAACCATATAGCATACTAAACAAGAAAATAGCCAGGATACACAAGTTCTACACACATTTCTTAATAAGGTATCAAAACAGGTTTCTTACATGGGTATAGTGTTCACAAGTGTCCAAGAAACAAAGCATTTGAGGAGATATGTACTGCACACTTAATCTGTGCATTTATTAAGTAAATAGAACTGAACTCCTACAAAGGTGTCCAAACAGGTATCAAACATTGGTGTCCTGTTCACCCGTGTCCAAGAAATTAATTGTCCATAGGAATAACCGCATAATATTCTACATACGATCCATAGTATGGTTGCAGTAGCAAGCTGGCAAAAAAAGTCACAATTTAGAGGCCATATCGCTAGAACTTATAAATGCGCTTGTAAGCAACTCTGAGTACCCCCAATTTGACTCCTAAAGTAAGCATATACGTCATATTATCATCCAACAACTTAAATGATGTTACAATAACAATTCAGGCAATTCAAGTGTACTTGCTTTGGTGAAGCTCAAAAGATGACCATACCACGTACCCCCCCACCCAAAAACAAAATTCTTTTTTTGAGGTGATTAAATCATTTCACCATGGAACTCTTTCCAAACATACCAGGTGCATATTAAAATCAACTGCTTCATAGTTATGGAATTTAACCGCCAAGCCAACCAATAACCTAAGGGTGTGTAAAAAGTGCATTGACAGAAAGAACACGAAGGACTCATTCTTTAAAAAAAAAAAAAAGGATCTTTCTCTCCTTGGAATAATCTGCCTAGTCTTAATCTAATATCAATGCAATTTCATACTCATAAGCTTGAACCCATCAATCATATCATCACTTCCTTTAAGAAATCAATAAACGAACCTGAATCATCCCCTTCCCTTTGATACTATCACCCATATCAAGGCTTAATTCCCCTTTAGCCAACTTTTGGCCATACCACGCATTACGACCTTTCAACAGGGTTACATATGTGTCAGCCAACAGAGGACCTGCAAGCTTCTCTGGTTCTTCTGCTAAAAGATGAGTAATAAATATCATCTCTGATGTACAGGGTGCAAAGTATACCGATTTACTGGTGGCACTCTCATTAGTTAGAGCTGCTATCATACCTGTCAAATTCAAAAAGAAAAGGTAACTGAACAGACTCCAAACCTGAAAAGAGATATTGTATAGAATGAGATTATGTTAATCGAGATATGAATTATTCCTCCATTTTGAATGGAGTACTGGGGTCAGCGCTATTCCTTTGTTCTCCGTCTAAAATTTCATATTATTTTTTATTTTTGTTTTTCAGTTGGAGTAGGAAACTAATTTGAACAAGCATAAAAACATTTTATAAAATATGACAATAAAGCATCAATCAGGATTACAAATGAAGAGTTGCTCGTATATATAACTGGGATTCATGTTCAACAATTATATGAATTAAATTTGAATTATTTTTGCTTCAGCAAAACCAAATTTATACTTGGCATGCTTGCATTCCAAGTTCATTGCTTAAATATGAAGATTGCAACCAAAAAAAAACACACTAATTTCCAGAAAAAGGCATTATAGCTTATAAACAGCTGGAATATGTCACATGGGTGGAATTACATCGGGAAAAAGGGGACCTTGCCCCCCCAATTTTTTGGCAAAACCCAATGAAATGTTCCCCATAAAGGGCCAATATAAAGCCCATAAAAACCTATCTTCAGTGCCTCTTTATATGTACACAGACAACCTCTCTTATTCAGTCACGGTCATGATCAACGAGCAAGGTTTCTGTTTATATATAAGAAAGTTATTTTCTGTCCATTTTTATTCATATCTATGCAAAAATTGGTTAGATGTATTTTTGTTGCACTTAATGGGTTATGAAACACTTTTTTATAAGTAATCTTATCTTAGATCTTAAATATACTATAATTTTTATATACTTTACATTTTATTTTCACTTTATTAGTTTGACCCCAAGTTCCATCAATCTTATGCAATTTCATTAAAGATAAATTGCCACCAGTAATAAGTTGGTTCCTATTCTCATTAACCCAACAGCAGCAAAGAATTGCCCGAACATCAATATTTTAAACCTATTTTCCTATTGTAGAGCCCAACATAACCAACCTATTTTCCTGTTGGCATTTCCAGGAATTTTTTCATGATTTATTTAGATGACTAAGATAGGAAACACTTAACTTTAAACCAATGTCTAGTTTGAAGAGAAAACTAGAAGCCATAATTAGAAAATAAATTAGTTTGAAACCCGTCCATTAATCTAGAAGCTGGAGAACTGAATGAATACTTTGTAAAAAAGGCTCTACATATTTTGCATTTATGATCTCGGAGAGGAGAACGTTTTAATTAAATTTTCGAGAAGCATTAGGAATTAGAGTCATTTGTCGGCAATTTCTACTCAAAACTTGGGTTGTCCTGTTAGAATGTCTTGAGTCAGTTGGCTACAATCGTTGAAGACAATGGAGCTGAAGATTCGCAAAGAAACACAGCGCAAAATCCACATGGTGATATCACATATCTAGGGCACAGGTAAATAAACCTTAGAAGACCTCAAATAACCTAGACTTGATCTTGAAAGGACTCAAAATATTTATTCTCAACTTGTTTTTAAAGTTGGTGCTTTCAAATTGAAGTTTTCTGAAAATTTTCAAAATTATTTTTATTGGAAAACGTGTCAATGAATAATTATCCACACAAAAAAATGTGTCAATGGATAGGTCAAATGATTGAGTGCTCTCCAAAAAGCCTTTATTGATATGTTTATCAATCGAAGTTATTCTAGAAATTCGTTTTGAATTCCAATAATCCTCAACCGAAGGCTTGATCAATTGAGGACCTCTTGTAGGAGATGCTTTGATGGCTTCTTAGTTCTTTATTTTTTTGGGTATATGGGAATAATTGTAAATCGATGGGTGGACTTAGTAGATTTTGTGGATGGTTTGAAAGTTTAGCTTCTTTTTTGACCTTTTTGCAGTTGTTCTGGGATGCGCTCCCCTCTTGACCGCTCTTGAATGAAATTTACTCATGGGAGAAAAAAAAAAAAAAAAGGGATTTAACGTACTATATAGCATGAGCCTCCTATATTGACCATAAATGGGGTTATAGTCAGTCTAGGGTGATCATTTGAGCCTCTAAGCATACTAGAGAGAGAATCCTACTTTAGAGAGAAAATACCTTGTTCCTTAACCTAGCATTTTACATCAAGTTACATATATATGTGATTGAAAGTCTCTAAAACAAGAAGATCATCACAATTAACTACAAAGAGAAAGTCAACCAAAAATCAAAGAGCAGAAGGATTGAACAAGCCATCGAGAAGCAGATTTCTTGGTTGATGGAATGGACAACCAGGAGACTTGAGTGGAGAGTTTGGTTTCTGTGGGAAAACGTGTTTAATGACTTGTATTCTATATGTGTATAGTTAGCTATTTTAGGAAATTTTGTAACAGCCTGTATTCCTAGAATTAGGCTGATTTGGTTAGCTTCCTATTCTGTTAGAATATCCCATAAATCATGGGATCTGATATAACCTAGTTAGTTTTCCTTTTCTGCTGCTAGGGTTGATGTATATAGCTAACGTTTTGTGTATTATTAGAGAAGAATGAAGAAAATTCTTTTCTCAGTTTGTGTCATGGTATTAGAGCTTTAGGCTTTTTTCTAGGATTAAAAACCTCTTCACACAGGCCTTCATTGCCGAGACCATACTGCTGCTTCTTTGTACCGTGTTTTTTAGTTCAAAAACAGAGTATTTTTACACTTTTGCTGTTCAGCCATCATTGCTGAAATTTCTTAGAGCAGTTTCCGTTCTTATTTCTACCTTTGCCAGCCTTCATTGCTGGTGGTTTCCATTTCGAGTGATTGGCCTTAATCGCCAAGAGATCATTGTTCGTGAAGAATGTCGGAGGTTGCAGAGACGATCGCTATAGCACAATTGGAGGAGATTGTTCGATCCCAACAACCCGGGGAATTGCAAAATATCCAGGCAGCATATAGGCTGAATGGAAAAAACTACCTCAAATGGTCTCAACTTGTCCGCGCCATGCTGAA